AAATGTATATTTGTAAGCTGAATTCTGTCTGGGAAGAATCATGGTAAAGAATCAACCCACACCTGATGTTTCTAAACCCCAGAGAATTTATGCTTCCTTAATTCATGGAGAGAGTTGACAGAATCTTTTGTCGTAAACTTTTGTTGACCTGTCCCAGAGAGAATCGGTCTTAGTGACACGTTGTCACCTGACAAGAATGTAAGGACATTTCACCAGGATAGAAAAAAAAAAAGTCTTTGATTTTACCTGAAAACTGTCGTATTCATGACGTGTTTTCTTTTTGTTTCTTTTTTATATTCGTGCCCGTGTATAAGTCGAATTTTAAAGCCATTTTTTTTTAGCATAAAACAGATGTCACTCTGTTTCATTAAGTTGGTATCTATCCACAAAATCAAGAAGTAGGCAATCATAGCTCTCCCCAACTTCTTTTGTGTTGATATTTATTAATTGGGAATTTGCGTAGGGAAGATAGTCGAACGTTTGGTTGTTGCCTTATCCTCGGTTTTGAATTCAGAGTTGTCATTCTCCTAGGCAGGTGTCCTATCAAGGTTAGAAAACCCAGTTTACCCTACTATTTTGCCAATAACTGCTCGATGGAGCTATGTCTTCAGACATGAGTACGAAGTGGGTGAAACCGCTTAAAGAAGGGATTTGAACTTGCTGTGGGGGAGGGTTCCATTTTTCATGCCGATAACTGTTTCGCTATTCACTGCAATATGACCCTACCTTAATTTTTGTTTTAATCAAAATTCACATCAAAACAAGTTGATAATACGACTAAGACACAAGGGGCCACTTGGAGTGAAAGAGAATGAGAACACTTTAGAATGAAACAGAAATAGAATCCTAATCAGGGAACAAGGGATCAATCTCAACTTCTGTTTAAAAAGACAAGGAAGAAGAGTGAACCGGGCGATAGGCGAATTTTTCTACTATTATTGGGGAGAACAAAATAAATAAAATAAAAGATAAGTAATTAATTAGTAAATACAATTTCATAGTTCAGGCGGAGGGGTTATAGTATAGAGTTGAAGTAGATTTATTCGAATAAATACTTCATCCTGGGTATGACGATAAACTATATCCGGCAGCAAGGCCTCTGATCGGGAGATTAGAGGTTTTGAAGAGTGCGAAACCACCTCTTAATTGCTGTTGTTTGTATGTCTACCTTGACCTGAGGTGGTAGTACCTGTTAGGGTCCCAGCTATGGGCAAATAGTGAACCCCAAAACAAAAGTCAACAGTACATTTTTATAATAAAATGACCAACAATACAATTTTATAGCAAAATAACAATCAATGCAAGACTAAAAATTATAAAAATACATTTATATAGTAAAATTACCAACAATACATTTTACGATCTTATATATATATATATATATATATATATATATATATATACACGCGCACATATATATATATATAAATATACAAGTATATAATTGGTATATACGGAATGAATTCAATAACCAACAATTACTATTCTTAAAAGAGTGCTCAATACAAAAAGTAGAGCATATATAATTATTTTTATAAAAAATTATAACATAAGTATGTTATAAAATCACTACAAAAATAGTCAGAGTGTGTTTGAAACAAAATGGCTATTTTTGTAGTGATTTTATAACATACTTATGTTAATAATTTTTTTTTTTTAAAAATAATATATATATATATATATATATATATATATATATATATATATATATATAACATGCCTTTACACTGAAAGCATAAAATTATCTACAAAATATCTGTAGTCGAAAGCATAAAGTTACGCACAAAATATTTAGATTTCGGCTTATTTAAATAACCCATACAGGTGTCGATATCCCGCCAAACAAAATCAAACCAACATGAAAGAACTTCTTCTTAACATTAGTCCATATAATATCTTACAATTTCTGAAATAAATGAAACTGTATTCCAAAATATAACTTCAACAAAACTACGACATAAAGCACACATATCACCGCCTCTAGCAATTATGTCCACACAAACATGTATATGTAAAAAAGCTGAGTATTATCTACCATGTATTTAACTGTGAAAGCAGAATAACATATATCATAATTTTATTACTTCAAAGCTCCCAGAAAATTAAATTTTCATATTAAGTGACCCATAAGGAGTCGATATGACGTTAAACAATGAAACCAATCAATCAATCGAATAAATACTAAACAGGAAGTAGAAAATATATGTGCTTAAAGGTATTCATTATAAGACCGTATAAAAACAATAATGAAATATATTTATGTCTCATACCTTAATCTGTTATGATGCTATTGTAATGATGTACTCATTAAAGATTCAACTCACAATACGAGCGAATGATTCGTGAGAGGAGTTCGATATCTATCGTGCTACGGTAGGCACTCTTCTACTCTTCTGAGTTTAGCAAGGCACATTTGATGATTATGGCTAAACTGGGATTATAAATATTGTCTAGGGATAATCTCCGTCCTGGGTATGACGATAAACTACATCCGCGTCCTGGGTAAGACGTTAAACTACGTCCAGCAGCAAGGCCTCTGATCAGGAGGTTTTGAGGAGCGTGGAACCACCTCTTAATTGCTGGTGTTCCCAGGTCTACTCTAGCATCTGTTAGGGTCCCAGCTATGGGCAAATAGTTAACACCCAGACTATATCCACCTCCTGGGTATGACGATAAACTATATCCGCATCCTGAGTAAATGAATAAACTACGTCCAGCAGTACCCCAGACCCAGATCTCGTCCTGGGTATGACGATAAACTACATCCGCGTCCTGGGTAAAATAATAAACTACATCCGCGTCCTGGGTAAGACGATAAACTACATCCGCGTCCTGGGTATGACGATAAACTACGTCCAACAGCAAAGCCTCTGATAATACGTTTTTGAAAAAATAATGTCAGCTATAGGATTTTTTTTTTTTTTTTGTTTTTTTGTTTGTTTGTTTTTTTGAAAGAATAGTGTTGCCGGCTATACGTTTTTGAAAAAATAATATTACCAGCTATACGTTTTTGAGGAAAAAATATTAACAGGAATAGATTTTCGACAAAACAAAAATATTACCAGGAAAAACAGGGAAAAAATTGTCGGCATTAAATGACCCATTGAGGTCGATGTGCCGTAAAACAAAACAAACCAAACCTAAAGTTAACCTCTAAAATCTGGAGAGCATTCGAAGTGATGATTTTTAGCCTTACTCGAACACCGACCTCAGGTGCTAATTAGAGTCACACGATAATCTCGGCCACAATAGTTTTACTTACTAAACTTAGCTTTATGCAACTAGTGACGATCGAATTTACTGAGGAGTGAAATATCTGCGAAAAGAGCTGCTACCCATGACCCCATGGGGACAAGTTACAATAATAATTATTTTTTATCTTAGTTTTTGGCATAAATTTGCTAGCATGAGGCACCCAGTGATTTTTTTACAACGATGTTCATCCTGTACAAGGCCCAAGGCAGTAAGAGGCAGAGTTTATGGGGATATATAGTGAAGATAACGGTTAACCCTGGACTTGAACAGGTTATAATTGTAGTGATCGGGGAAGCATCCTCTTGGGAGTCGGTTTCACAAAGTATCGGCCCCTGGAAAGAAGTTAACTGAATGGAACTTACCTCCCACCAATGGAATACGAATCGAATTCAGTATCGATTAGTGACTGATCAGCGAGTCCAGCATGCTATCCATGACACCAGGAAAATGTTTTTTTATGGCTTATCAACACTGTTGGGGGCCACCCACCTTCTCATCAGAATGGACTGATCTCTCTACTACTAATAGGACAGTTCTAGAGAGTTCTGGAAAAGATCAGGTGACCATCACACTTCCGTCTCTCTACCGGAAGATACAGTTGGACTTTATACTCTTTCTGATTGTTACTGACTAACCTGCGTTCGTTTGGCTACTAATCTCTCTGTTGTAAATACCTCTTCAGATATACCAGTATTTTTCCCTACGTATGTGTTTGTCCTTATTTCAATACACGCACGCGGAAACACTCAACATCTCAACAAACACTATGCAGGTTATTTAAAGGCAGAAAATAATTTTAGACGGTAAGAATTTTTTTTGGTGGGGTGAGATAATAATGGTTTAGTCGTACAAGTCTTGCTAATTAACCCATAGATGGGGGAGAAGAGATAGAGTCATACATTTCCCAAGGTTATTTGCTCGTAAGTGAATATATCGAACCCAACGGGAATTGAAACTCGACTCTCCAAGATAAGAACAGACTGAGATAGATAGAGAGATAGGAACAGATAGATAGATAGATAGATAGATAGATAGATAGATAGATAGATAGATAGCATATAGTAAATTTTAACCTACTCTAAAATCTGGTATTAATTACAGATTTCTGAAAAAAAGATCTGGTATTAATTATCTTCTTCTTCTTCTTTATATATCGTGTCCCCTCAGGACGTAGGCGATCTGCCATTCAACACTTGTCTGTCCTTTGTAGTTCTAAATAAATTGTCTTTTCGTCATTTCTCCCTCACCCTGTTCCTCCATCTATTTACTCAAGGTCATCAAGTATTTGATGCATTGTTTTCCTCTGTCTCTCTTACTTGTGAGTATCAGATTTTCCAAACCCTCTTTCCTCATTATGCGCCCCTATTAATGCTGACCATTTCAAACATTTCCTGCATTAAAAATTATAGACAGTTACCTAATAGCATATAATTGTTCTTTTCATCTGAATAACGGTGGTTACTCGACGGAGTCTCCTTGATTTTAGAGTCGAAGCGTATGTATATCTATGCAATTACATTGGGATATGATTTGATCCAATTTTCTAGTTTGTTTGATGCTTACCGTCTTTCTCAATTACCGGAAGCTCTTTTTTTTTTCTTTTTTTTTTTTTTACATTTTCTCGGGGCGTCCCCTGACAAATTCTCTTGGTTCAAAAAATTTCTTTATTATTGAACTTTAAAGTAAGTAAAATATATTTTTTATTTAAAATCCAGTTTATTAAAACCTTTCACTTCAGTATCTGTCTATATTTCTGTAGATAGATAGATAGATAGATAGATAGATAGATAGATAGATAGATAGATAGATAGATAGATTATATTGAAACAATTACTAGATCTACTGCTAGGAAAGTTGCTGCAAATTCGGTTTACTGTTGTGCTTGACAATCTTTCGGTTTACCCCCCCCCCCAAGTTTCTTACCGTAAACTACTGTAATTCTGTCCTTTTCCTTCTGGAGTTATTTTCACTGAGTCAATTTTGAAATCTTCCTGGGTTTTGCACGATTTATCAACACTGCTCATATATTTTCTATTGGACTGCGATCAGGGTTTTATGACGGGCCCTTCGTTACCTTTACTTTCTTGCTATTGAGTCATTTTGCCAAAAAGTATATTTGAGGGAGGGCGTCATTGCGCATTTGGAAGACTCATTTTTCACAAATCTTTAATGCTTACGAGATGATCTCTTGAGATGTTGCTACAATAAGTCCAAATTTTTTCCTTCCACATGATAGTATCTGACATTTTAATTACTCCAGATTCTTTAATAGCAAAGTACCCTACTTCCATAGAAAGTACTCGGACGAATTACATTGCTTGGTTCCATCAGGTCTAACCTTCATGGCTAGGACCTGCCATGCCATTTACATAGTAACAAACCCCACCCACATTCCCCACCCCATATTCCATCAGTGAGAAATAAGTTTCTTCCTTTTTTTATAAAGCAATATTATCATAGTATTATCATTTTCATTTTCCAGTCTTGATAGAGTTCAAAAGCGTCTTTGAATCATTGTTGGAGAAGAATTATTTTCCACCCTCCAACCCCCCTCTCTCACAGGTGGAATGTGGAGAGTCTCTCACTGCTCTATTGCTACTTCCATGGAAAGTGTTCAGTCTACCTTCCTTGGTTCCATCAGTTCAGGCCTTCACAGCTAGCACCTGCCATTCCCTTCGTATTCCATCGGTGAAAAGTAAGTTCCACTTGAACCGAGAGGATGTTTCCCCGATCACTACAATCTGTTCACGTCCAGAGTTAACCGTTATATTACTCTCCTATCCGTATAAATTACCCTATAACGTATTCCTCTACCTCGAGTGGCTCCCGGGCCTTGTACACCGCGAAACTTATCGTAAGAAGAAGAAAAAAACACAATATGATGCTTTCATCACAGTTGGGATTGCTATTCAACTTGCAATCGCACACCGCCATCTTTACATCCCAACATGACAACTGTCACTGTGGCGTAACAGTTAAATATTTGTTTAATCTGACCAGGAGACATTTCTTTAGAACCTTTGTCCTCATCTGCCGTGTCAAAGCGTATTCTAGCTTTTTATTGTCATTTTAGTGCAGTAGCCTCTTCGTTGATGATCAGATTTCCAGATTATATCAATATAATGCTCAATTAGACAGACAGACAGATAGATAGATAGATAGATAGATAGATAGATAGATAGATAGATAGATAGAATGAGACTGGGAGAGATAGATAATTTCCGCTTTTGTTCATCAACGTTTTCTTCAAAAAATAAACTAAAATTTAATTTTATTCAATTATACAGGGTACCCCCTCCCCCCCCAAAAAAAACTAACATAATTTAAAATGTGAATATCTGAGTAATTCACAGGCAAACGAAATTATATAAGCTTTATGTTGAACAACAAACAATTATTTATTAAAATTCGAACAATGTATCGAAATGAATGTCGATTTTATAACCGATTTCACAAAGCTTCACAAGTTTTCAATATACGCACCACTTGTGACACGACACACGTCAAGTCGGTAGTCCAGCTCCCACCAAACACGTTGTAGCATGCGTTGCGTAACATTCTCCAATACTTCAGTGAGTCTTCAGTTTAAGTTCTTCTAGTCTTGTAGGAAGAGGGTAATTATAGACCTGTCTTCTCACATAGTCTCTTAGAAAATAATCACAAGATGAATATGACGGACATTTCAACAGCACATTGTCACTATCCATCTTCCTGGCAGATTCTCATTTAGATATGTCCGCACAGTCAACTTAGTTTTTTACACATTTTGCTAGAATTTGAGATCATTTGAGCGAGGATTTGGCTATGGTTTTGGAATACAAAATGATGTCAATTTTTGGGCACACCCTATATATACTTTGGTGGATTTTTTTGTACGAGAGTAGAGTTTTATCCTTTGTTATATATATATATATATATATATATATATATATATATATATATATATATATATTTCCCTTTTTCCTTTTCCCATATCATTCCCGTTGAGTTGACCGATTAAATAGGTCAATGTCTGATCCTTACCCCTCCTCCTCAATATTAAATATTGTAATAAAAATAATAATAAGTTTTAAAACTCTCCCTTCCCTCTCTAAAATCGACCATGTCTCTCACACTATTCCTCCCCACCCTCTTTCTCAACTTATATAAGCTTAATATTGCCCGTCAAAAGTGTAAATTTTAAATTCATTTTTCGTTTCACCTTTGAAAGTGAAGTCTGAAGATCCAGAGAAAAATAAAATTCTCTGGTGAAATAAATTATAACAAATGGAGCCTTAAAAAAAGTCTGTTTTTTATATATATATATATATATATATATATATATATATATATATATATATATATATATATTGAATTCAGAGTGTTTTCTTCTAGACTGGCTGCCACTCAAGCTCATTCTGTCTCATAGGTGGCAGGGGATGGATTAGCGCGAATTTTAATGCCTACCAGCATAGAAATAGAAAGTTTTACTATAGGTTTGACGACATTATTTTCACTGTTTAATGGACATCATTTAAAATCCCGTAGTCAAAGGAATGTCGATTTTATAACCGACTTCATAAAGCTTCAAAAATGTTCAATATGCACACCACCTGTGACACGGCACACATCGTCGGTAGTCCAACAGCTGCCAAACACGCGGTAGCATGTCTTGCGTAACATTCTCCAATACCTCAGTGATTCTCTGCTTAAGTTCCTCAAGGTTTGTAGGAAAAGAAGGGATATAGACCTGTCCTTTCACGTAAAGCCATAGAAAAAAATCATAAAGTGTCAATTCAGGTGAATGTAGTGGCCATATCAACATTTTCACTATCATTGGAACACCGGAGATCCATCTTCCTGGCAGATTCTCATTAGGATATGTGCGCACAGTCATCTTAGTTTTTTACACATTTTGTTAGAATTTGAGATCATTTGAGCGAGGATTTGACTATGGTTTTGGAATACGAAATGATGTCAATTTTGAGTGGAAAACCCTGTTTATTCACCATTACTTGCAATAACTTGTTGCCACATATCGGGCTGTCTTAAATACATTTTGAGTAAAATTCCGTAGTTTTTTATGCAAAAAAGGTTTTGACGAACTCTTGAAATGTGGATCTACAGAAGGATGCTGAGAATTCCGTGGACAGAGTAATTAAACAACGAAGAAGTTTAAAGAAAATGGCAACAGAAAGACAACTTAGACCTAGTCAGAAAGACACAGTGGAAGTTTCTTGGACACATAATGAGAAAGGAGGGCTTGAAAACTTAACCCTTACAGGATATATAGAAGGCATGAGATATAGAGGCAGGCATCGAGTTACCTATTTAGCGGAACAGTGCGGGTGTAGAAGGCTTGGTAAAAGGAGAAATGCTGCTAAGGTCCACAAGGCCTAGGAAGCTGGGGCGGGCCATGATCTCCCACGTCCTGATACGACATATAGACGAAAAGGTTCTGTCATTTTAAGCTTGAATCATTTCGGGTGCAAGAGTTACCTTGTCTGTCCAGTTTCTTCTCTTAAGAAAGTTTTAGAAAGAATGAAAGGAACAGAGAGACGAACAAAGTAAGCAAAAGAAAAAAAGAAGAACGAAACAGATAAAGACAGAAATCAACAAAAGAAAACAAAGTTTGCATGAAAAGAAATAAAGAAAGGAAAAAAGAAGAGAGAAAGAAAGAGACATGCAAAGGAAGATTCAAAGCAAGCAACAAAAGAAAGAAAGAAAAAGACTAAGTTAGCAAAGAATGAAAAAAAGAGAGAAGCAACGTAATAAAAGCAAGAAAGAGAGGGGAACAGATAAGAAAGAAAGAAAGACAGAAAGAAGACAGGAAGAAAGAAAGAAAGAAGAAAGGAAGAAAGAAAGAAAGAAAAAAGAAAGAAAGAAAAAAGAAAGAAAAATATACAAAACAAAGAAAGAAAGAAAGAAAAATAAAGAAAAAATAAACAAAGCATCTAAAAAAAGAAAGAAAGAAAAATATACAAATCAAAAAAAGAAAAAAGAAAGCAAGAAGGAAAAAATACAAAGTAAAGAAAGAAAAATATATAAAGCAAAGAAAGAAAGAAAGAAAGAAAGAAAGAAAGAAAGAAAGAAAATATACAAAACAAAAAAGAAAGAAAAACTAGACAAAGCATCGAAAGAAAGAAAGAAAGAAAGAAAGAATGAAAAATATACAAAGCAAAGCAAAGAAAGAAAGAAAGAAAGGAAAATATACAAATCAAAGAAAGAGAAAAGTAAGAAAAAATACAAAAGAAAGAAAGAAAGAAAGAAAGAAAAATATACAAAGCAAAGAAAGAAAGAAAGAAAAATATACAAAGTAAAGGAAGAAAGACGCAAACAAGGTAGACAAAGAAAGAAATATTATGAAAAAGAAAGGAAAGAAAGGATCGAATGTTTGAAAAACGAAAGAAAAGGTAGAGGCTTTGAATGAGAAATTATCCATGAAATAATGAGTTAGAAAATAAAGGAACCAATTTTATTAAACTGAATATTTCAGGAAAAATCGCTATGTTTCTAATAAAAAAAATGAATGAAATATCTTTTAAAAAAATGGATATTTTAATGCGAAAAAGAAATTTGTTTTCAACTTGAATTTGTATTTCATTTTTTTCAGTTCCACTTTTCACATAATAAAAATGGCGTCAGTCTGACTTTTGTTTTTCTCGGGAAGGGAAAAGAAGTCTTTCTCTTTATACTCCAATGATTTAATCTCCGAAAAGGCAGACAAAATAAACGATATCATTTGATGACAACAAATTTGCTTATCAGCAAAGCGTGTTTAAGTGTTTTAATATGGGGAATACAAAGATTGTAAGACAAATATAGAAAAAATGGAACCAATTGTAAAAGATTTTATGCCCATTTATAATAATATCCATTACCTAGCTGTTGTTTAGACTAGAACGAGGCTAGAGAGCGTAACAAGATGGTGTCATTCATTCAAATCTTAACTCGACATGTTGCAAATTCACATAGGGGAAAAGAATGCGAAAAAATTCAGCATCATGGTTATGAAATAAAGTAAAAGAAAGTCTGTTCAATACAGAATATTGTCTAACATACATACACATCGCTAATATGTAGATAGATAGATAGATAGATAGATAGATAGATAGATAGATAGATACTGACATATTGTGATAGATAGATAGATAGATAGATAGATAGATAGATAGATAGATAGATAGATAGATAGATACTGACATATTGTGACAGATAGATAGATAGATAGATAGATAGATAGATAGATAGATAGATAGATAGATTAACAGACACATATTGTGATAGATAGATAGATAGATAGATAGATAGATAGTGAACAGACTGAGATGGATAGAGAAAAAGACATAATACTTGAAAGATATACAAAATCATGATCATTGCTCTCCACAACTTCCTATTTCTGTACCCCTAATCAATCTCTGTCTCCTCACCAACTCATCCTGGTCCCTGTTCTGTCATCCGTTTACTAGTTAAGTCGGTTACTCGCTGTTTCCTTCTCTCCATCTTGCCTTCAACATAGACCCTGAATATTAAATTCTCTAAACTCTCTTCATTATGTATACTAAAACTTTCAACTCTTTCTCAGTCTAAGTGTCATTTGTTTCTCATTTTTAATATTCTCATTATTCACATTTACAGTTCAAGGTATTTTCGGAATCTTTCTGTAGAACCACATCTCTGTTTTCTCCTGTCTATTCTTCATCCTTGAATGTATTGTCCAGCATTCACTGCCATGAAAGTCGGGTGCTTATTTCATAACAGTTAATAACTCATTTCTTTATTACCAACGCATATTTTTCCAGGATTTGATAATTTGTTTAGATTTTGGAAGAATGAAAAAGGAAGGAAATGATCGAAACGGTGTAAAATGAAAGAAAGGATCGAAAGATTGGAAAATGAAAGAAATGATCGAAAGAATGAAAAATGAAAGAAAGTATCGAAAGATTGAAAAATGAAAGAAAGGATCGAAAGATTGGAAAATGAAAGAAAGGATCGAAAGATTGGAAAATGAAAGAAAGGATCGAAAGAATGAAAAATGAAAGAAAGGATCGAAAGATTGAAAAAGAAAAGAAATGATCAATAGATTGAAAATGAAAGAAAGGATCGAAACGTTGAAAAATGAAAGAAATGATCGATAGTTTGAAAAATGAAAAAAAAAGGTTAGAAAGATTTGAAAATGAAAGAAAGGATCAAAAGAATCAAAAATGAACGAAGGGATCGAAACGCTGAAAAATGAAAGAACACATGAATAATCCTGACATATGGCACAATGGATAAAAGCGTTGTTTAGATCCAGTGACAGGACCCAATGAGTGTGAGTTCAATACCCGGTTAAGGCAGTGGAGAACTTAGAGAGGAGAATTAACAGGAGATAACTGACATCCATTAGACATGGCACGTGGAACTAGAACAGTCTACCCCAGTGAGCGAAATAAAGGGTTCAGTTCAACAGTCCAACCACCTGAAGAAGACCGGAGCGTACAACGGCCGAAACGTTGTAATAAATATGGCGACAAAGGTGAGGACAATAGTCCGAATAATGTAAATAATGTACATAATATCACATCTCAGAAATATAGACAGTTATTTATTCATATTTGAACTTTTCAAAATTACAAATTTATCTATATATAAAATTCTGTCACTTCTGTTAGTCCGACGGGCACTCCCTCTATAATAGCCATACACTGACCGATCAAAAGCAAATTTTGGGGAGAACCGCAAAGGGTTTTACTAGAGTGCGTAGCTTAGTACTATAAATTTTCATTCATTTTTTTTATTAAAAAATTTAGTTTACATACAAAATACACCCACTAATTTAAAAACAATTTAATGATTAAAATAATAAATACTTATTTAATAAAAATGCAATATTGTTTTTTGCGTATCTTTTCTTTGAGTTTTTGTATACAGGAATCCAGTTTCTAGTTCACCTTGCGTTTGCGAGAACTCTAAACAAATCACAAGGCTAAACGCTTCAAAAAGTTGGAATTTGGCTCCAGAAAGAAATATTTATGTATGACCAGTTGTATGTTGAATGCTCAAGAGTAAGAAAGCCTACGAATTTATTATTCGTTGTCAAAAAGGAAAAAATAAATAAATTTTCTTAAAACTATTGTTTACCACGAAGTTCTATAAAATTAAATTAAGTTTAAGAAGTTATTATTCCGCGAAGTAGGGCTTTTGCCAAAGTATTTTCCCAAACAAATCTGCATCTTTAAATTTCATCGATTGGTTTGCGAAAGTGAATGAATCATACAGTTTGTAAATCACGACGAAAGATGGTAAAGGTGAGTTTAACAATAATGAATACTGTGAAGATTTCAAACGAATTCTAGTTTCTAATATTAACCTACATCTGAGTTTCCCAAATAAAATCTTTTAATTTTTCTTTCTCATTGTTGTAATCTAAGGAAGGTTACGGAATAGAATAATCAAACGAAAGATGGTACTGAACGATAATACTTAGGACAAGAACAACACATATAAGATTCACTAGTGGTGCGTAAAAGTAGTCAACTGCTTGAAGTGCGTCAAGTGAATTCCACAATGAATCTCCAACTGCAGGATATCTACCAACTGTCCAACGCGGTCAGATGTAGCACAAGGTCGAATTTAACGTTGAGATCGGCCAAAAATTCCCCGTAGACACTGTATAAAACGAGGTTGAGTGGCTGTTTCCCGATACGAGACTCTGCCGTTCGACTCATCTGGGGATCTTCTCTGCCTGGAGGCAGTGAGTTTGACCAGCACAGCTGGAGACGAATCTCCAGCTGCAGAAGATTTACCAACCGCCCCACGCGATTAGGTGTGGCACAAGGCCGAATTTAATGTCGGGTATATGAGCCCGTAGGCTGGGTCAAAAATTCCTTGTAGACCCTGTATGTAGCTGTTTTCCGAAACGAGACTCTGCCCTTCGACATAGCCACGTCTGGGGATTCTCTCTGTCCTGAGACAAAGAGTTTGACCAGCACAGCTGGAGACGAATCTCCAACTGCAGACCAACATAAATATTTAATGCTGTATTTATGTGAATGGGGACATACTCATTATCCTTCGTAGGTAAGCGGCAACACTCATAAAAACCAAAAAGAACACTGAAGTTAATACATAAGAACATTAAGAATTAAATAACTGAACAAGTTACAGAGTCTTGCCTGGGGCATTTCTATGGTTGTTTTCTCCATGTTGTACATTTCATATGTCAGTATGTTTGCATGAATTCCGATATCATTATTATTTATTTTCTTTAGTCGACATACTTTTTTATTCTGCGTGATAATTATCTCGATTTCGTGTCGTCGGAAATGCGTTAATACTGAATCACTATGTTCCCAATGTTCACAACACCACATAAACGAAAATATGGACTTGAATAGTGTAGTTGTTCTTGCATGCTTTTTTTTTAATTCTGTAAATAACTAGAAAGTTAGAACTGAATCGGTTAAAAGCACGTCGAATCTAACGTCGGTTTCTCCTGCAAAAGAGGCGCAGGTTCGAATCCTACCAGAGCATGCATCTTTCTCGAACATTCAGATCGGTTGACGAAAGTAAATATACTGTTTAAAAATAAACGGAGCGTCTACACAAATATGGGTATCCACTAAAAAATAAGGTTTAAAATGATCGTCTTCTTGATGTCCTTATTGATTCATTTCTTTGAAGTCATTTTAATCACTGGTATGAGTAAACGGTTGTATACAAGGCGGTAGTTTAGACCTTTCTGAACGAGTTTGACCCCATGCAGGACATAAGATAAGAATCAATCTGACATATTCCAAAGAAATCGTGATTAATTTCATTTTAAAACCTCTTATTATATTAAATTTGACTGCCGTTAATCACATCAACCTGTATAAAAAGATCACAGGTTCTTTTTATTTTTCTGACTTTTTTTTTCCATTCTCCGCATTTTCATGGAATCCACAATACTAGCATAATACTGTCAGGAGGAAGAGAGTTTGACCAGTACAGGTGGAGACGAATCTCTAACTGCAGGATATCTACCAACCGCGGTCAGATGTGCTACAAGGCCGAATTTAATGCCAGGTATCCGAGCCTGTATGCTCGGCCAAAAATTCCCCGTAGACCCCGTATAAAACGGGGTCAGGTAGCTGTTTCCGGAGACGAGACTCTGCCCTTCGACATAGCTATATCTGGGGATCGTCTCTGCTCGGGGACAGAGAGTTTGTCCAGCACAGCTGGAGACGAATCTCCAACTGCATATCAACATACAGTATTTACTACTATATTTATGTGAATGGGACATATTATCGTCGATAGGTATGCTACAACACCCTAATACTAGCAATTATATTGCAAACAGAGAAAAATACATAACGACATCATTTTTAAACGGAGAGAGTAGTTATATCAACCGGAAGAAGAAGAAAAAAGAAATATAAATAGAAAAGAAACTGGCTGAAATATCTATTTTGCTGAGTCACTTTCGGATACACATAATCTCGAAAAACTGACTTCCTATTCCCTGTTGGAGGAGAGAAATTATGTGTGGTCCAAAATAGGAAGTGAAATAAGCAGCTGCAACTCTCAGTGGGGGTGCTGATAAGAATCGTGGGAGAAAAGTGGTAACGATTAATAAATCATTGTTATCGCTTGTATTTTCCACAACATTTTCCTGGAATTCTATGACATCATTCTTATAGTCAAGTAGAAAACAAAATATAAAAGAAATAAAGAAAGAAGGAAAGAAAGAAATTAAAATCCCATCAACTAAAGAGAATCTCTTCAGATGGTTGAAATAACAAATGGATGCTCCCCTACTGAGAAAATATAACTGTTCTTAAGAGTTGTATTATTTCTGCATACAAATAAAATAAATAAAACTGACGAGAAACGTAAATGCAAAAACGTTAAATGAACATAAAACGAATAAAGAAGCAAACATTCTCCGCATTTTTATGATATCCCTATGTTGTAACCTAAGGAAGGTTACGGAATAGAATAATCACACGAATGTTGATAGTGAACGATAATACTTAGGACAAGAACAACACATACAGGGTGACCAAAAAAAACGGGAATTTTTGAAGTGCGTATTGCCAGACATGAGCAAGTGGCAACACTGCAAGACAGTGACCTTGAGCAAGTAAACATTTCGCCATTTAGAATTCAAGATGAAATTCACAGTATTCCAGCTGAGATGTTGCAACAGTCAATGAGGAATCTCAACAGCAGATTTCAAGAATGCATTCGTACAGAAGGACGCCATCTACAGGACGTATTTTTTAAAAAATGAAAATTGTTTCTTAAATGGCATGTTTTAAGGTTTCAATTACTATGAATAAAATATTTTTCTTCCATCACTCTTGGTTTTATTGGATTGTTAAAAAGTTCCCGCTTTTTGGGGTCACCCTGTATAGGATTCGCTAGCGGCGCATAGAAGTAGTCAACTGCTAGAAGTTACTCAAGTGAATTCCACAATGAATCTCCAACTGCAGGATATCTACCAACCGCCTTACGCGGTCAGATGTGGCACAAAGCCGAATTTAATGTGGGGTATATAAAATTCCCCGTAGATCCAGTATAAAACGGGGTCGGGTAGCTGTTTCCCGAGACAAGACTCTGCCCTTCGACATAGCCACGTCTGGGATCCTCTCTGCCCGGTGGCAAAGAGTTTGATCAGCACACCTGGAGACAAATCTGCAGGATATCTACCAACCGCCCACGCCCTCAGATGTGGCACAAGGGTGAATTTAATGTGGTATATCCAAACCAGGAGGCTCGACCAAAAATTCCCCGTGGACCAGATATAAAACCGAGTCGGGTAGCTGTTTCCCGAGACAAGACTGTGCCCTTCGACATAGCCACGTCTGGGGATCCTTTTGTCCAGAGGCAGAGAATTTGACCAGCACAGCCGGAGACGAATCTCTAGCTGCAGGATATCTATCAACCGCCCCACGCGGTCAGATGTAGTACAAGGCCGAATTTAATGACAGGTATCCGAGCCAGTAGGTTCGGCCAAAAATTTATCGTAGACGCGTCTAAAACGGGGTTAGGTAGCTGTTTCCCGAGACGAGTTTCTGCCCTTCGATATAGCCACGTCTGGGGATCCTCTCTGCCCGGAAGCAGAGAGTTTGTCCGGCACAGCTGGAGACGAATCTCCAACTGTAGACTAACATACAGTATTTACTACTGTATTTATGTGAATAGAGACATACCCATTATCGTCGATAGGTATGCTACAACACCCTAATGCTAACAGTTACATTGCAGTGATAGAGAAAGATACATGACGACATCATTTTTAAAAGAAGGCAGTAATTATATCCCCCGGGAGAAGAAAAAAAGAAGTAGAAAATAATACAGCTATTAAGATCATTAAGAGATAGGGATTTAAATATAGAATGATGCAATTGAACGTACCGACATAAATCCTATCGACCGGAAATTGGGGGAATCTGATTCGGAAATTAGTCAATCCGGCTGTCAGCAAAGTTAACATTTTTTTGTTCTTTGTCTCTTTGAGCCGTTTTCATTACATTCTTTTCTCTTGTTTTTTTTTTTTTTTTTAAATGCTTTCTTTTATTTTACGGTTATCTAATTATACGGCAAATACTAAAGATTTACGTTTTATTAACTGGAATATTTCGTATTTCGTCTCTTTTTCATAATCTCCGAGTAAGTTTTATACTAACAGTTTCTTCTCCTCCACCTCTCGTTTGCGGACCTCTCTTCCGGCTTCTTCCTTTCCAGTCAACTTTGACCTTCAAACATTTAAATGCAACATCAATCGTTATCTTTTATCTTCTTAATTCCTATTCTTTTATTGTTCTCACTCCTTAATAATTTGTTCTTTTTCTCATATTGTTTAACACTTGGAGAACCCACGGTAAACTCGGCCTTGTGACACATACATCACTTGTGAGGAGGTGTTAAATATTAACAGTAGGTAACCCATCGTGTCTTAGTGGTTTTATTGCCTTCCCTGATAGCTATAATCTCCAACTATTCAAATGCAACCAGATTCTTTGATCTGTTCCTTGTCCTTCTCTTCATCCTTTCCTCTTGCACGCCTCTTTACTCTTGCTCCCACTCTCTGTAACCATTTGCTTGCTCGTGTCACTCCCGACTTGCTTGGGATGAAATGCTTAAAAAAAAAGTTAACCTCAGAATGTAGATCATTTTTTACATCAGCTGCAAATTTGACCTTATTGATCCATTCAGATTTAGTATCGAAACAAGAATAAATGTCTGTGTCATCAGAATAGGTAGTGAGTTGAGAATTATTGCCATCAGGGAAGTCTTTGATGAAAATTGGAAACAACGTAAGTTCAAGGATAGTACTCTAGCGGACGCTTGCATTAATGAATAAAAAATAAACCTAGAAGAGTGGCCGTTCAAGACAACTTTCATTTCCGCGATTCGATAAGAAAGATTGGATCAGTTAAAAATTTAGGTTAAAAATAATGTAACCTTTGAATTTATGAAGAAGATCTGTATGCCAAACTCTGTCAAATGCCTTCAAGTTATCCAAAGGAACTTCACTATTCTTATTTAAAGCTTACTAGACTCTTTCAGCAATAACCATTAACTGGAACATTCTTAAGCTACATTTAAGCATATACACCCTTGTGCAAATTAATTGAAACAAAACGAATAATTCTGTTATTTACTTTTTTCGTATTTTTCCAATGAAACATGACCCAGTGCAGATGTTAGTACTTCGTATGTTCATTCTACATCTTTCATTGCAGATTGATCACAGATTCTCGATTGGATTTAAATCAGGAGAGTTTCCGAGCCAGTCGTTAGTACTTTAATTTGTTCACTGCTAAGACTTACCATTGTGTTCGTGCAGTGTTACAATTTTGGTAAGTTTCCTTGGAGTAAGGTCTATCGCAGACAATGGCCGTAGAACAAACAACTAATCGATAGTCGAGACAATAGTGTCTGGCCGTTACAGTTCCGGATTATTTTCCTTAATTGATGCCTTCAATTAGTCCAATCGGGAAGACTACCTGTGCGAATTCTTCATCTAATTTTCTGGCAAAGAGCTCGTAAGTACCCTTCCGATCCCACTTGCCAAGCATATTTCTTTTGTGAGTACTTTAACACTGGTACAGTTTGCTTCCTCCAAAACCTGTTTCGCTCTACACTGTTGTAAACAATCTATTTTCATTGCCTATAAACGTTCTTTTAATGTCATTTCCGTAAAGAATTGCAGTTGGAAATGCGGTCCATTAATTTTTTCCGTTAAATCTTGCGACAGCCATTTGGAGAAATTGATTGATTTCTTTTCTCTGTTCTTTCAACTTTTTGCAAGTTATTTAAAGCCAGAAAAAATTTAGATTGTTAGAATTTTTTAAAAAATAATAATGGTTTAGTGATTTCTTACTAGTTAACCAATAGCTGGGGGTAGAAGTGGGAAAGTATTTGCGCGTAAGTGAATATAACGAACCCAACTTGAATTGGAACTCGGCTCTCTGAATTCCTATCCATTACACCATCCAACACCCAAGCTTACGATATTGAGTCACCCCCCCCCACGAGGGTGTCATGTGGCACAAGGCCTTTTTAACGTGGGCATTCCCAGAGCCATTAGGCTCGGCCAAAAATACCAATTTGAACCCGTATAAACGGGTTCAGGGCCGAGCTTTACCTCCCGAAGGAGACTCCGCCCTTCGGTGTAGCCTCCTTCGGGTTCCTCCCGCCCGTAGGAAGAGAGTTCAAACCGAGCAGTCTGTTCAAAAGTGAACTACTGACCCAACACCCAAGCTTACAGCACCTCATTTTCCCAAGTTGTTACCCATCTAAGTACTAACCAAGCTTAATGTTGCTTAACGTCGATAATCGTACGGGAACCGGTGTGTCAACGTGATGTGACTGTAAGCCGGCTGAAACGCAAGACTTGGCCTCTTAACTGTCATTGAAGGGTACTTCAGCTAGATAAAATCTAATTTTTTTTTCTCTGCTCTCCCTCCCCCTCTCTCTCCTTCTTTTTCTTTCTCTCTCTTTCACTATAATAATTCAATTTTAAACCCTCTTGTCCTCTTTATTTTTCTTTCTCTCTACCTCTCTCTTGCTCTCACTATCGGATTCTCTCTCTGTCTTTCGCGCTCATTCTCGCTTTCTTTCTCTCTGTCTTGCTCTGCTAATTCTCCTTAAACTCTACCTCCCTGCCGTCTGTTCCTTTATCTCTCCTCCTCTGTGAATATCTCTGCCAACTTGTATCTCAGTAATTGCCAAGTGGCCCCCACTTAGAATTAACAAAACAGTACAACCCAACCAAACCCGATGTCTAGACTCGATTTCTCCGGCAAGAGATTTACGGCCCTTCAACTCGGTGGGAGAGGTCGATTGATGACACACTAATTGCATAAAACGGAATGACGTCTTCACTTTTTAATTCCGAGCAGCTTTCAAACCATCTGAAAACCCCTTTGCTCCCGCCGGAGACGAAAGTATTTTGCATTTTTTCCCTTTTCGTTATTAAACTGGCACTAAAGCTTAAAAGTTAAGTATATACGTCAACCCCCGTCCCTAAAATAAGGGAGAACATAAAATATATTTGCTTATATACATATGGTTTGTAAAACATTCACACACGCAGACACACACACATAATTATGGAGAAAGGAATAAGCAAATATAAATACACTGAGTTGCCAAAAAACCAACACATGTTTGTGTGTGTGTGTAAATGGAAAAAGCGAAAAAATAAAAGGCATTGTTTCTCTCTCTCTCTCTCTCTCTCTCTCTCTCTACACACACACATATATATATATATATATATATATATATATATATATATATATACCAGGTGTTTCAGCAAAGTTGTTCAATTCGTGTAACAGCATAATTGTCCATCACACAAAATGTTTAACATCTAAAAAAAATACACTTAAGTAATTGAGTTTTTTCCAAGTTTTCAGATAAGATGTTTAGTCATCTTGACACTATTACTGAAAAACTCTTTGAGTTATTCAGCTAGAAATAGAAAGGTTAAAATCGTTTTGTGTTGGCCCCAATGTCTTCTCAAATAAGCAATGGTGAGAGGAAAAGGATCATTCAGGACTTCAGTAATACTCTGGCTTCCATCTTCAAAGTTTATTCAAGAACCATAAGAGAAAGGTGCATAAGTTTTAAAAAGAGGGAACGGTAGAGAGAGAAACTAGATCAGGAGGTCACAACTGGAAGAGGGATCATCATTTCAGCTAAAGCGATCAATTAGGAAAGACCCAACTCAATCCATAAGACTTCAATCCATAAGGCACGTGAGAGAGAAGTTTCAAATATGACAGTTCAGAGAGCAGTGAAAAATGACTTGAAAATGAAATCGTATGTGAAACCTGTGAGGCTCCTTTTTACTCAAGCACAAAAAGTTAGAAGGTTAAAAAGGTCGAAGATCATCTTTAATAAGTTAGAAAATGATCCTGAAATAATACTGATATATATATATATATATATATATATATATATATATATATATATATTTGAACTTATATCAATCCTTCATGAGCCTCCAAATTTAGTTATGATTAATTAACGATGAGCATGTCATTTTCGTTTATTATCGATTTCATCACGATTCTTCTGTTAAGCTTGGAAAATACTTATACATCCTTATTGCTTAGAGTCTAACAGTGTTATAAAAAAAACTCGGAAAATTCCAGTAAGATATCTTTAATCATTTTTTAAGATACAACAGTTCAAAGCTTAACAAATAGACATTTTTTTTCTTTTACACGATTTGAACAATTTTGCTGTTACAACCGGTATATATCTAATTGTGTATTTGGGCAGTAATACCACTTTTATATAAGTTTCATTAAAAACGACTGATAAGTTACTGCGGTTAAGTTTTTTACTTCTTTTTTTTCTTGTTTTCTTATAATTTTCTTCTTTTCTGGGCATAAATTTTATAGAAATTGTCGGAATGTTCTAAATGCCAGAACAATCTCAGCCATACTTTTAGCCATTACCAAGGATGATTTTATTTTTGACTTTTAGCTGAACATATACATTGATTTATTTGTGTATATAGGATTATAGGAATGTTTTATTTTCCAAAAACGGTCAACACATTGTGGCCGTGTTCATAGTTCATGTTACTGATTGGTGACTTTTACTTTTTCAACAATACTTACATTGTTTTTAGCTCTTTTTTACATGTGGATGAGGCTATTATATTTTTATTGTCAACGAGTTTGTTGCAGATAGAGTTTGGTAGATCTCCATATGTATTTAAATGAGACCTAATTGAGCTGTGGTCAGAGAGATGTAACGTGAGTCTTCTTGTTAGGCATGTTAATTTAAAAATATGATTTCTTCGCTACTTAAGAGTTCTCATGTTTCAGAAACAAGAGCCAAAAACTTTAATATAATTGTTAAAATTAAAATGAATTAAAGTATCAAGCACTGTTTCATCCTCAAGCGAAATTTACCTAACGTGTTCTCTCCCTATTTTCTATATATTTGCACACACACACACACACACACACACATATATATATATATATATATATATATATATATATATATATATATATATAACATTCAGACAATTTCTACATAATTTATGTCTAGAAAAGAAGAAAATAATAAAAACACAGGTTTGATTTGATTTGTTTTGTTTTACGGCATATCAACCATAATGGGTTATTTTAATTTATTGCTGGTAGTATTTATTTTCAAAAATATATTTCTGGTAATATTTTTTCGTCAAAAATATCTATTGCTAGTAACATTTTTTTTCAAAGTATTTCTGGTATTAAAACATTTTTTTTTCACTTTCATAGTGTTTTGACCCCAGTTTGGGGGTTAACTATTTGCCCATAGATAGGACTCTAACAGGTGCTACCACCCCGGGTCAGTGTTGCTGTTGGACGTAGTTTATCGTCTTACACAGGACGCGGATGTAGTTCATCGTCATATCTAGAACGGAAGAACACAGGAAAATTTAAACGAATAACTGCAGTACTTTGTCAGTCTTTTTCATGAAAACATATATATATATATATATATATATATATATATATATATATATATATATATATATAATCGTTTCACCCCAGGCAAGACGACAGTGCTACTATAGCGCAGTGGGTTGCAAGGAGTGAAAGTGAAAGAATCTGAGTAGACTGAGAATAAGGAGGATTGAGGAAAGGGCAAAAAAAGAAACAGGGTTCAAGAAGACAGAAGATGGTGATTGTGTTACATTTAAAGTTTTGCAGATTGTAGTTATCAGGGAAGCAAGAAATCGGAAAGCAATTCCACAGGCGTGAAGTGCGAGAAAATAACTGTTAGAGTAGGAGTGGCGGTTGCATTTAGATAGTTCAACAGTAAAACTGCGAGACCTAGCTGCCAATCTAGTAACACGCATAAATTCATGTAGTCTGAGCACCAGGGGAAAAAAGCTCATCCGAGCAGTTCCCATGGACATATTTGTGGAACAGAAGCAGGGAACAGACAGAGGGAAACCATGTCACGTCAGTGAGAAATTGACTAGAGATGAGATGCCTGGTCAGGACCTATTATATTGCAGACTCTTCTTTGGATTTTGTCAAGAATCTCGAGATGCACTGAAGGATCACCAGACCAGATATGGCTACGGTATTCAATACATGGATCACTGGTAGATTTATAAAAGGGCAATAGATCGATTCTGACGAGAAAAAAAAATTGGCATGACACCGTGAACCACACTTCCTCGCAGCAGACGTAGCAATCGATATAGTCGGCCCACTCCATATCCAAGAAGCCGTAGAGTATTACTCTTCTGAAGTTCACTATCAGTCATCCTAGTGGTAGACAGAAAAGGTTTTCAGTTGTGATTAAATGAAAGCAGTTTTGTTTTGGAGGCATTGAAATATACAAAATGTGTGGGTTTGTGTTGTGCTGTCTTGCCTTCAGTTTCTCCTGTGAGTATCAAATTTTCCAAGCCCTCTATCCTCAGTATACGGCCTAGAGAATTCAAATGTTTAAAGGTATAAGTTTCTTTTTTGTTTCGATTTTTTTCTAAAACTTCTCCGTTGCTAACATTTTCGGTTCAGTTCATGGTATCCTCAGCATCCTTCTGCATAACCACATTTCTGCTGATTCAAGTGTCTCTCTTAAACACAAACACACACAAACACACACACATATATACATATACATAAATATATATATAGAGAGAGAAAGAGAGACAGACAGACAGACAGACAGACAGACAGAGACGAAATTCCAGTCGATTTCGTTATATTTAGTTACGTGCCTTTGAAGAGGAACTAATCCAACTCTCCTCCCCAAGCTATGGATAAATAGTAGGACAAGTGTGCTTTATAGCCTTGTGTCGCAAGCGCTCTAGAAGGACAACTCAAAACCTGGGGGTGCTCGTTTGGGAATTTTGTGGCACGCTGTTCACCAGTTATCTGCATTCAGCCCTTCCCAAAAGTGTGGTCGGTTCTAAACAAGCCTTCACCGCTATAAGGAAATCAAATGTGCGGATAGTCTGGCTGTTTGGTTCTAAGATCTGACCTTCTGAATCCTCATACGCCGATATATATATATATATATATATATATATATATATATATATATATATATATATATATATATATATATGCGTGTATGTGTGTGTGTGTGCACGCGCGCGCATGTGCGTGTGTTTCACTTAATGTGAAAACCAAATCTTGTAAAAAATCCTATAAAAGGAACGCAAGTTCAAATCCTGCCGAGGATCACACTTTCTCTCAAATGCACAGGCCGGTAGATGTAATTGTCACTGTGTAAAGAGACCAAACACGTTTATCAACTAAAATATAAAATATAACAATAAAATATATATATAATGCGACACACACACACACACACACACACCTATATATAAAGTATATATATAAAATA